GATGTCTATTTTATAAGATTAAAGTTTATTGTTATATTAGCTGATTTATTTTTTGAATATTTGCTATTGAGAGTTGGGCTTAGCGTTTATATAAGGCTAAGAATCTGTCAAGTGTCCTCCTAAACCAGTCTAATTATAAGGGTTTTTTTAAGATAGTCTTGTCATTCATTTTCATTTTTCAAAATCTCTACTGTGATCACCCACATACACATATAAGATGTATATGGCACTACAGCACTCTGCAGGATGACATAAGCACAAAAATGCAGAAACTGTATTTGGCCGGATGACACATGTAAACACAGAAATGCGTTCAATTAAGAGCTGCTCTTAAACCTAGTGGGAGTTCCAGCAAAGCAGGTGCGTCTATTATAAATAGCAATAATAATCTTAATAAACAACCTCAAGAACACAAGAAGAAATGATTGATTAGATAAGAGCGATTTGCAGTGGAATTGTTTCCCTGGTGACCAATTTCAACATGCTACTGCAAGCAAATAAAACGCGAAACACAATAAGCAGGCAAAAGCAAGTGGGCTGTGCGCCTGATTCGGTCCTAATGAACTGACAGATCAGAAATAATAATCCAGCCACAGTACCATAAGTCACTGCAGAGGTGTAATAATGTCAGCCTTGTTAATTAAGGCCGCGGTTTGATATAAATGCACCGGTGTAAGATATATAAACAAGTGTTGCTGGTCATGGTTGTAGTGGCGTAACTGTGCCAAACTAAATCAACTAGTGAGTCGCGGGCTTCTGCTCTTGTGTATCCTGCTGCACTATGAAACACTTATCACCTCCACCAGATAGAAATGATTAGTCAGACACACTTGCTCACAGAACTCGATACCGAGACAGTCTCTCTCTGCTCTTTACCTGTAATTGCAAGGGATGTAGAAATTGTACATTCAAGAGTATTATCATTATTGATTAGTATTGAGTATTCAATCAATATGTGGCCATGTAAAGCCAATGGATGTGCATGTTCTTAAGTCTTATTTTCTAATGATACTTAATGCTCTATTGAGCCAGTACAGAGTCTGAAAGGACAAACATGCTGGATATCTAATATGTTTATCTGTTGCTAAGGGCCAAACTGGGAATTAGTAGAATGTTTTTAATTGAAAATTGTTTAATTGATTTTGCTGATATGGTATGAATGTTTTTGAGGACATTTGCCTTTGGGATGAAAATTCCAATACAGACAGTTCTCTCATGCCATTGTGTGTATGTTTTTTGAGCATGTCTTTATTGAACCCTGCAGAGACTCAGGCAAGTGTGCTTACATTGTGTTGAGCCGAGCAGCGCTCTAAAAATGGCCCTCCTCCGCTGCTCATCATGGGGAATTTGAGCCCAAGCAAGATGTACACCTGGAAAGGTCAAAGCTTTGAAAGACTCAGCTGAAATATTGATCTTGACAAGCGGTGCTTTGACACAACCCTGTAAAATAATAAACAGCCAAACAAAGCCCCTCCTCCTTGGAAAAAAAAAACAGAAAGAAAGTACCAAAACACCAGGGGAAATCTGCAAGTACAGTCTGGTATCAGGTGAGTACGTATGCTGAATAATGCCGCATCATCTGCCATACGGCCGTAAAGTTTTTATTGTAGCAGTAAGTTATGGTTTATAATCAGAGGTACACAGCTCAGCAGGAGTCTCATCTGTTCCTCATTGAAAAGCTCAACTGCCTTTGATTTGTACAGCTGTCACCTGAAATTATATCGCCGTTGTTTCGTGTTGTTGTTTTTCCTCTAATGTTCTGTTAGCGAAGCATTATTGCAATTACAGTCTGCTTTGTGCTAAAGCTCTCGCCGCAGCACAAAAGCTCATTTGATATGGAAAATACCTACTTTTAGCACTTCAAACATTTTTAAAACAAAGCCTTATTAGCAGCCTTTAGAGTGTCATTAAACAGCGTCTCACCCGGTCAGAACCACGTCAACAAACGCCGCTTGCACCGGCATTCACACCTTTTTAACACTCGCTTTATTGTCGAACGGTTACTCCTGTTCTAATCTAGATCCAAACAAACAGAAATGATCGCGAAATTTGCATTTGTCATAATGCTGCATTAACGCAGTGGTCACACTTTGTTTTTTGTGATAAATGCTATGCTAAAGCACAGATTCAGCTGGTTTGTGGAGACAAATGAGTGCTTTGAATAAATATCTCCTCTTTACTGTTTATTAATATACTAAAAATGATGAATGTGGAACAGGGCGCGTGGAATGCGGTCGTATGGAAAAATGATGGTTGTTGCAGCTCTAAACCTGCTCTTGAGTAATACATCTGGTGCAAAGTGCCGCAGAGCCAGACCTATTACTGTATGGTAAGTTTTTAATCTTTTAAAAAATATGGCCATAAATATCGGAGTTGCTCTGTTTCTCCCTCAGTCGCGCTGGTCTTTTTTGTTCCACGGTAGAAAAACTCTCACGCACCTGTTCACAAAATTATATATCATTTATCAGTGCATACCGAGACACAAACACCCCTAAATAAACATCACTTTATTTACTTTTTTTAGGATAGTGGGTAATTAGGGACATTTTTGCACTTTGGACAATTTATTGTCGTTATAGTCAAAATTTCAGAGCAACAAATGAGATATCATCACGTAATGTACACGAGAGATGAAGCGTCTCGTATTACTAAATTTCCAGATTTCATATTCTAGAGCTTACCCTAAATCAGGGCTCTCGACCTGTTCTTAATCAGTGAGTATTTCTCAAAAAGAAAGGTTTCATGACCTTTTAATTTATTTAGATGATTTAACAACTTTTTGGTCCATGACTCAAATTCTAGGTTCCAAAATTGTTCTTTAGATTAACACATGCATAGCTGAAGGCATTTAATTGGCTGTATCATACAACTCTGCATTGGATCAATATTTGGTCTTACAAGGTATAGTTTACCAAAAAAAGAAATTTAAAGGGTCAATTATTTCATTTAATTTCATTTCATTTTATTTTATTTTATTTTATTAACAATGGAGTCCATACAAGATTGGGAACTGACATTCTTGGTATTGACCTGAAAAAAAGGCAATACCAAGTCTTATATGGACTCCATTGTTTTTTTATTTAAAGGGGTCATATGATGCGATTTCTTGTTGTTTGTCATTTCTCCGATCACAAATGCAGACATGGTTTTATGTTTACGCGGCGCAATGCAACGCAACGTGTAAAAAGACAGTATAAGTCATTATAATCTGTAATTATGTCCCCACTGGATGCAACAAATGCCTCGTTTATAATGGGTTTTAATGGTTTTGTCTCGTCGCACCGGGACAATGCATCACAGTTTGGTAAGGGGTGTAACATTTCCGTCACATGCTTGAGGTATTCGGCCAATCACAACGCACTGGATAGCTGGCCAATCAGAGCACACCTCGCTTTTCAGACCGATGGGCTTTGTAAAAATTGATGCGTTTCAGAAAGACGGGGCATAGAGGAAAAACAATAATGTACAGTATGTGGAAAATAATGTTTTTTGAACCTTAAACCGCATAAACAAATTTCATTACACCAAATACATAAAATAATGTTCTTTTTAGCAACATCATATGACCCCTTTAAATGTTTTATTTTGTGTTCTGTAGAAGAAAATAAAAAACACACAGATTTAAAACGAAAAGATATTGAGTTGAGTTACATGGGTCCATGTAATGCAAACTTATTCCTACTTTGTTCAGTATGTTTAGTTCATCTTTGTGTCTGTGTCACATTTTAACCTACATTTCACATGTATTGTATATGTAGATCTAATTTACTGTCCAAAATAAATAAAACATTTAAGAAAGTTTTTTGAGTGTTTCTTGTTGAATCTTGTCCAGTTCACGTTTTTGAATTTTTCACTGACTCATCCATGTGCCAAATCCACAACTGAAATGGGGCAAAAATGCATTTGAGATTGTCATGTTCACCTACACTGGCAACATTTTCCACGATGTGTTGTTCTGCCTCCTAGTGTATTCAGTTTATAATTTTCCTCAGAGATTATGACAGTTCAGAGCTCCATCATCATAACAGATCCAAACATTTCCCAGATTCCAAGTGGCTCCAATCCAAGGCCCCATTTACCCTTCAGAATTATCCAGGATATTGTAAAGGCCATGAGTGGATCAATTATAATTTCCAGGAGTATTGAATTATTGTGCACAATTTCTGGATGTATTCTACAGACATTTCCCAGAGGCCATCTCTCCTCCAGCTACTATATGTGTCCTGACACACTGAAATATGACTGTCCCTTAATTAACTGTCAGATTAATTAGATCAACACCAGATGACAGGCAAAATGTTGCTTTTGATGTCTCTCGCTAGGGGGAAGTAAATCGAAATGGATCTTTCTCACTGGGTGCGTGTCAAAAGCAGGTGGCGAAGCCTACAGGTGGCAATGTCACTGTTATTGTATATGGCAATATGTGTTATCTCAAACTGATTTACATGGATGTTATGTCTGCGTGTCATGATGCGTCAAAGCACTGCTCCAAATGTAAGCGCTCTGTCTACCCCAACAGGAAGAAACGTTCATTTTATCCTTTTCTTTGAAGGCGAAGTGTTTCGGTATAGCCTAGAGATCCACAAAAACAAACACGTCTACTCAGTAAAAAGCAACGCCCTGTGTCTTTAGGCTTTTTATTATATATTTGATGTTTGGTGTAAGCTTGCATTAGCAGTTATTCCCACGGGCTATTAATGAAACATTTGACATTCACTAAACATCAAATTTCAGTTCAAGCAGTAGAATTTCATAGGGTTGGCTTTAATGAAATTCATGCATGTTATCAAAATGCAAGCTTAGCAGGAATTGGAAAGAGACAACAACTCAAGGCTGAAAACTGTAAGGTTGGGTTCATTTCATTGGCTGCTCCTCTGAACTCTGTACATTCAATGACTAACTGGTTTTCTCCTTTCTGATTAGGATTGGGTTGGAATTTATGTGATTTTATATGAATTTAATTTCAGAGTTGGCTTAACTTTAGCTTTTTTCTATTACAGGCCTTTCCATGCATATCGACAGGAATTTATGGTAAGGAAAATGTCTATTCATCCTCTAAACCTTTTCAGTGTAGGCTATGTACTGTATATGAGTGATTCTGAGCGTGTACATGAAGCATGTGTGTGGTTTAGATAGCAATTTACATGTATGCTGGTAATGTGTGCATATAATTTAGGTATGAAAAAGCTGATGATGAGCAAATTACCTCTACAGTCTTTTCATGTCTTTAAATTCTCCCATCATTTGATTCTGCCTTTCATTTTCAAAATTGAAAATTGAAAATTGTTTGTTTTGTTTGTTTGTTGGTTTAAAGAAGTATGTTGAAGTCCGCATATATGAATAATGTTCCTGTTATGTGTGTGTACGTTACCATTCAAAAGTTTGTAGGTGATTTTTGAAAGAAGTCTCTTATGCTTATGTCTTTTACATATCTAGGGTGGCATTGTTTTTCTCAAAAATACAGTAAAACAGTTATTATATAACTTATCAATTAATATTTAATTTTATTAAATATTATTTAATATATTTTTATTTGAATAAATTTTAAATAGAATGTATTCCTGTGATGGCAAAGCTGACTTTATAGCAGCTATTATTTTAGTCTTCAGTGTCTTATGATCCTTCAGAAATTATTCTGATATGCTGATTTCGTGCTCAGGAAACATTTCGTATTATCTATCTATCTATCTATCTATCTATCTATTAGGGCTGTCAAAATTAACGCGCGATTAACGCAGTGCGCATTTTCTGTTTGACCCGTTGCCTAGCCCGTAGTTGGAGAAATGGAGATGCTGACAGTGTTGCCAACTTAGCGACTTTGTCGCTAGATTCAGAGACCTTTTTTTTTTTAAAGCGCCTAGCAAGTTAGCAACCATATATAACACAAACCTTATTTAGTTTCTGAGATTCGATCGCGAGGTTTTGCATCTGCTCTGTTTAACGAGCGGTTGAGAGGAGCAGCGCTTTTAGTTAAACCAGATATTATGTTGCTTCTCTAATTTTACATGCAAGTATAATCGAAATCACAACACAGCTATTGTCTTTGTCTTATGTGTATTTGACTTCATCAGGCGACGGCTCGATTATAAATCAGGATTTTTGTGCAGATTAACATCTTGGAAGGGACAGCTGGTTATGTAGTCTTAATGGATCGGGTTTCAGTCACTATTTCATATTAATTCGGTTGTCTGACAATAGAAACAAATATAACAATGAAAACAGTTTGAGAATTTGGCTGCAACAAATTACAGTATGTGGGCACAGAGATGCAAACAAATGTAATAACAAATAATAAATGTACATTTTGCAAAGCGAGCTGCCCTGTCCTGCAAATAATGTAAACAGGCTTGTGTAAGTAAATTGCTCAGTGCAAAGAAAGAGAAGTAATGTTCTTTTTTTCATGTGTCTAATAGACATGAACAAGTTATTTGAAAATCATCTATGACCTTTGAAACATGTCTAGTCTTAATGCTCTATGTTGAGTATGGTTTCACTAATAATAAACATACATTTGCATAAAGCATCCATGTTTGTCCATGGCCATGTTGATTAGAGTTTTAAAAACTTGAAAAGTATTAATTTAAGGTACATTTAGAACAGATAAAAATGTGCGATTAAGTTGCGATTAATCACGAGTTAACTCATGGCAATCATGCGGTTAATCGCAATTAAATATTTTAATCGATTGACAGCCCTAATATCTATCTATCGATCTATCTACTATATATATATATATATATATATATATATTCTTAGGAACCTGTGTTATCAATATTGAATATATATTATCAATATACATAAAAGAATTCTGAAAAAAGTATCATGAGTTCCATATATATATATATTTGGAACTCATGATACTTTTTTCAGAATTATTTTATGTATTGATTGTTCAAAAGAACAGCATTTGCGTGAAATAATTTTTGTAACTTTATAAATGTCTTTACTGTCACTTTTGATCAATTTAATCCTTGCTGAATAAAAGTATGCGATTTAAAGAAAAAGAAACACTTGAACAGTAGTGTATAATGTACGTGTGTGTATCTGTGAGATTCTGCCACAAGAAAGTGCCTTTGAGATCTCAGCACTTCAGAAAGAATGCAATTATGTTTGATTCAATAAATAATCTGCAACCTGCCTCTCCAGCACTGCGTAATTGTTCAGATCATCACAGAGAGGGAAAGCATTTACTCTGAAAGCAAGAAGAGCACTCGAATATCATGATCAAAGAGCTAATAACCTAGAATACTTCCCCAAGCTGACGTTTTCTTGTTTCTTTCGGCCAAAAAGACAGTAAATGCTCGTTTAGGAGGGAAATTAATTTCATACCATGGCAGTCATGAACGTTTGTTTTTAAAACATTCTCAAATAAGCTGAAGGAACATTTGCTCTCTTCTTCAACGTGAATAAGCTAACCAAGCGAGACAAACACGATCCATGTGGCCACGTCACCAGATTAACCAGCTCCAACATGTAGAACTGTCACTCACAGCCAACCAGAGCTGACACCCCATCTCTCTTTTTCACTGCATCATGGGAGCTGAGGTCCAGGCTGACAGATGATCGGGGTACAGAGGGTAAGGCGTAAAGGGGCTGTTCTGTGGGGTTGGAAACGTGGACAGCAGGCAGGTAGAAAAATGAGGCCTCACTCCCAGCTGACAGTCCAATCCCTCAGCCCACACCATTAGCACAGGTAGAGCTTTCACACACATGGCATATTGGAGGAGATGCCACCCATAAACAAACTGGAGCCTGCCGCCAGCAGAGGGTTGGATGGTATGATAGAGGTTATTAAGTCCGACACTCATAGCCTATCAATCAATGACACGAGAGACGGGTTAAAGCGGGTTATTTCTTTTTCAGTGAGGATGTGAAGGACTGGCAAATCTATCCGTGTCTTACATAGTGCGGACACAGGCAAAGCACAGAGGTGGACAAAGGTTGCATCATCCTTTACTCTGTCTGGATCTAGCATTCACTATTTCTTCTTTTTTTCCTGGATATGCAATTGGTTCATTAAAAGCAACAGTTTTTAGTTACAAAAGCTCTGTTTTGAAATCTGAAATAGAAATCTTACACCCGTCAGTGCCGATAGCCTAGTGGGCCTAGAGTCCTGAGGCTCGTGGACCTTTCCTGATCCTGCCCCCCTCTCTCTTCCAATTCGCTTCCTGTCCACTTACTGTCCTATCGAAAAAAAATCTTTAAAAAATAAATAACATCCCTATTTTATAATCTGAAAAAAGCTACAACTTTTTGTAAGTTTGACTTTATTCTCAAAATATTTTAATCTTATATTGCAATTTTATTGTTAAAAAAAAAAGAGCATTATTCTTAACAGATTATTCTCAAAACCTTTTTAATATTTATTTTTGAAATGTTAAGTTTTAGTATGGCACACAAATTGCATTGTACATGAAGAAATATGTTATTTTATATTTTACATTTTGTGTATTTTGTTCATTTTATTTATTTATTTATTCATTTGTAAATGTAAACATTTTGAAGTGTAATTTTTAAAAATTATGTCTATTATGTCTGTTAATGCTTTAATACTGGGGAATAATAATAATAATAATAATAATAATAATAGTAATAGTAATTGTCAATTAATTGCATCCAAAATAAAAGTTTGTGGTTACGTAATATATATATATGTGTGTGTGTGTGTGTGTGTGTGTGTGTGTGTGTTAAAAAGCCTGTTACATTGTCAACCCTTATACCATTCCTGACCCAATCAATAACATTTGTCAGTCTTATATATATATATACCCATTTGAATTTTTCTTAAAAATATACATGTATGCATACATATAAATACACAAAGTACACACACATAGTATGTAAACAAACTTTTTTTTTTATTCGATTAATCACAATTAATCGATTTGACAGCACTAAATAATAATAGTAATAATAACTATTAATATGTTCCCCAGCCTCACAGCAATCATACAGTTTTTGTTTGGTAGATGCAGTGTTAACATCTGCCACTCATGCTAACATTTACCCAACAACCTACACATGAAATAGACAAAAGTGAAAAGTTTCAAAAGCATCTTAATTTATACAGAAGAAGAAAAATACTTTATATCCAGGGAGGAAAAAATCCCTTTTATTCTTCAAAATCAGTTGTTCTCAGACAGACAGAGAACAGTACTGAGCATGTGTCTTTGCTCTTACCTGGTTTGAGATCGAAGATATTTAGTGTTACAGTTGCCCTCGGCCTCCCTTGCAGTTATTCCAACTCTGACAACTTAAAGATGCTGTTCACAGCTTCTGTGTGTAAGATTCATATCAGGGAAACTCAAATCCAATAGCCTTGAACACCACAGGTTAATTCTTCCATTATTATTTTAGCCTGCAGAAAGAGAGACGAGTCAAAAAGGAGAAAACTGCAATTAGATTTGAACCATCTGGGCATCTCAACAGCCTCCTTCTTACGGCGCTGTCACAATCTGTCATGATATATATCCAGCCCCGCCTTTAGATAAGCAACAAAGAGAAAATGAATTAGACGCCGGTTCATCATTCACCGAAGCCTAGAGGAGAAAACCTCGCTCTGTGCCCGTGAGGTTTAACGGCCTGACGACTTTGTCAAGGAAAAGACAGGAGCTGTCTGACATCAAAACTTGTCACTCATTAGATTACTGTCGTCGCCATTTGAAGAGAGCTCTTCATTGCCTCATAATCCAGCTCAGTGGGGTATATTGACTTGAAGCATTCATCACCATATCAAGGTCTGGTCGTTTAAGGTTTGTGTACACATGGTGATAAGGCATGATTTATTATTTATTTTCCCTCAGAAATCCACTGCAAAGACCTTCCCAAGGCCTTGTGGGGAAAAATAAGAGGCAATTTAATACAGCTATACTATATTACATAAAATGCTCTATGAACGTATCATGGTAAGAAATCATGGATATTTGACATCAGACATCATTTGTGATACATACAGTTCAAAAGTAATATTTTTTTCTTTTTAAAGACATCTCTTATGCTCATCAAGGCTACATTTATTTGATCAAAAACAC